AATAAATAAATAAAATAAAATAAAATAATAAAGCAACTTTGGAGGCACCTGGGTGGCTCAGTCGGTTAAGTGACCAATGCTTAGCTTTAACTCAGGTCATTATCTCAGGGTTGTGGGATCGAGCCCCATGTCAGGTTATGTGCCTAGCACAGAGTCTGCTTGGGACTCTCTCTCCCCCTCTGCCTCTCCCCCCTGCTCTCTCTCTCTCAAATAAATAAATACCTCTTAAAAAATATATATAATAAAGCAACTTTGGATCACAGAATAATAAGACATATTTTAACCTGATGTTAAATATATATATTTATATTTTTATATATAGTTCATGCATAGTTACTCAAATAATATATGCATATATAGACGTACACACACAAAATACAAAAGTAACCACCTCAATACTGTAATAATAAATAGAAATAAGTTAAAATGCCTTTGTGGGGTGGTAAAAGGAATGATAAAGCATCTGCATGAAATTGCACAGCTGTTACAATGAGGTCAATTGAACTGTCATGGAAAGTCATCTAAGATAGACTATTAAGTGAGTAACAGCACACAGATATAGAACTGGTAGGTTTATGATCCTGATTTGGCTTTTAAGGAAGGATGTTTCTGTTTAGAAGAAAGTAAGAAAGGATGTTCACTAATTTATTAATTCTGAAAACCACAGAGGATTAGAATCAGGTCAGGAACTTTTATTTCCAACTTTACGTGTTTTCCTGTATTATCAATTGTTTTTACAACCATTATGTATTACTTTAATAATAAATATAATAAAATATTTAAAGAGTATAGCTTTCACAATACAAATAGTATAGCTTTTTAAAGACAAATCAGAAAATTCAGAAAATGTACAAAAAGGGGGTGGAGGGAGAAAGGCCTTCTCTAGTCATGTTTTCCAGAGACAACTACTTACCCTTCTGATGTATTTCCTCCTAGGTTCATTTGTGTGGTTTTTTGTTGTTGTTTGTATTTTATAAAGGAGTGATCTCACCATATAAACATAACTGTTTTTTCACTAAACATGTCAGTATTTTCCTTGCAGACATTTTTTATTAGTTATAAAATATTCCACTGAGTTGGATTTACTGGTTTACTAATCCTCCACGCTGCGGGCATTTGGGAAGTATTCAGTTTCCTCCAATTATGACATATAGTGCCACAAGGAAATGTATTTTTCATAAATCTTTTACTGTATCTAAATTTTTTCCTTCAGATGACATTGCAGAAGTGTAACTTCTGGGTCAAGGGCTTATGGCTAGATTGTTTTCCAGAAGGTTCTTTTGTATTTTTATCCTTCCATTGACAGGGCCCATTTTATCCCTGCTCTCCGGTTCTGAAGACAACCATTTTAAAGAGACATTTTTAAAACAACTGGCACGTATAGGTGAAGCATATATGGGCATTCATTATACTTGCAATGATTCTGTGAGTTTTGAGTTTTTCCAAATAAAAAGGTTGAAACATATGTAACTGACTTAATGGGGAAGCAGGATTTTGCCTTAGAATTTGCATTTCTTCCAATTGTATTTTTGCCCCATTTGCATCCCTTTAAAATTGGGTATCTTCTATTACTGGAAACGTTAGGCATTTTCCCAGATGGTCTTTTGCCAGTTACGTCTCCTCTGATGTGTTCATATCCCTCTATTTACTTATCTATTAGGGTCATAAATTTTTATTGTTAACAATTTATGTGGGATTTTCATGTGACAAAAACATTAGCCTATCATAGTTGCTACAAATCTTGTCTCTAGTCATGCTTGCTTTGCATTCTTGTCTTGATATCTGATTATTTTTATGTTTACATAGTTGGCCCATCCACTGACTTCCTCTGATTTCTATTGTCATTTCTAAGCAAAAAAAAAATTTCCCGCTGAAAGAGTTCATAACTAATCAGTTCCACTTCTCTACAGATTGGTTTTGATGGTTTGCTACTCTTTGCCTGTTTCCCCACCTATGTACCCGGCTTAATAGGTGAGGAAACAGGCTCAGAGGTTAAGTGACTTGCTCGAGGTGGGGTGGAGGGGGGGGAACCAGTAAAGATGCAGGTGGGATTTGAACCCAGGCCCAACTGGTTACAAGGCCCACATCCGTGCTATCTGGCCTCTTTGGTAGCCTTCCTCATCAATGGCCAAGCGCAAGTCTTGGTTTGGTCTCTGGGGCCTACATGGCACAGGGCTCATCCTTCTTGTTCGCACTAGTCCTTGACCACCAACCTCACCCAGATGTTCACCTCACCAATGTTGCTGTGCAAAAGACATCTCCTGACTACCACCCAAAGAAGGTGAGGAAGCTGGGCTTCTGCCCTCCAGGGCCAGCCTTTTGGGACCGGGTTGGGGTGGGGAGGTGGGGTACCAAGGAGCCCGGGACAGGCCTATCTTGGGCTCATAGTTCACCAGTGAGGTCAGGACCACCCTTCCCACTTGCAGGGCCCAAGGCAAGAGTACAGATGGAGACCCACACATCATGTGTCTAAATAGTTAAGTTACAACTCAAAGAAACACACCCTGTAACAAAATGTGTTCTATCCTCCTACCTTGACAAGTATATTCCCATCCATCCATCCATCCATCCATCCATCCATCCATCCATCCATCCATCATCCATCTTTCTTTCTCTCCCTATCATCGATCCATCCATCCATCCATCCATCTAATAATCTAATAACCTATCTAATAACCTGGCAAGGCCAGGTTCAAATTTAGAATTCTCAGACTTCTCAGAGTTAAGAGCCAGAACAGTGGGGCACAGGGAGACCTGGCCCCCAGCTCACACCCACTCGCTTCTTTTCCCTCCCCCAGCTCCATCCCACACACTCCCATTTTCCTGAAAACAGTAACCAGTTGGTCGTCTTTGGGCCTTGGGGTACACACATGGTCAGTGCAGTCTGTCCCCAGGAAGGCAGGCCCAGGGAAGAAGCCTGTGCAGGCTGTTTGGGCAGTGACTTACGGGGTCCTGAGTACCCTGGCTGTGCTCTAGAAAGAGAGGCATAGGCTCTGGGTGGGCACCCCCCACCCCCAAGCATGCAGTAGCCTTGCCCCACAAGAGGGACAAACTCAGAGTTCTCCTACTCACCGGACTCAGGCCTGGGCCCTTCTTGTCCCAGCCCAAGGGCCATGCAATGCTGATTGTTTGAGGGTCCCAGCAGGCCGGGTCCCGGTTAATTGAGGTTCCCTCCCTCACCCCACCCTGGGTGCTCGGGGCCCCAGGGCTGCAAGTGGATGCTCCAGCGCTTCCGTCAGTACCTTGCGTCCAAGCACGGGCCCGAGGCAGTGGAGACGCTCTTCAGCGATATGGACAACATCTTTGTCAGGAGCCTGCAGAGTGTGCAGAAGGTGATCATCAGCGACAAGCACTGCTTTGAGCTGTACGGCTATGACATCCTCATAGACCAGAACCTCAAGCCGTAAGTGGGTAGGCTGGCAGCCTGGAGAGTGGGGGGATGTTGTACGTGCTGTACCCGGACTGCCCAGGTTTGATCTCTGCCGCTTCCTTGTGTTGCGCCTCAGTTGGCCCATCTGTAAAATGGGCATTGTGCTTATAGCATTAGTATGAGGAATGAATGAGGTACCGTCCATAGAGCACTGAACCCCAGGCCTGGCACTGAGAGACCTTTCTGGAACACCTGCTGAGCCAGGGATCCTTCCCTAGTCCCCGGCAAACTTCTTTGTAAGCCCTGCCGCTTTCAGGGTGCAAAGTGCCACATAAGGGAATATTGTTACCATGTCGCTTTCTGCCAAGAATTTGGCAACAGTGGCCGGCTCTTCCCGGCTCGCCAGTCTCCACTCCTCCCTGCTCCCGCCACCCCACAGTGCCCACGGAGGAGGTTGAACGGGTGAGGAAAACAAGCCTGAGGTGGTAGGGACCACAGTGATGGCCCCCATGTGATACAAAAGGACCCAGAAGCCCAGCGGGGTTGTTCCGGGTGCTTGAGGCCACGCAGTAAGTCAAGGGCAGAGCCAGACCCAGGGTCATCATTTCTGGGCCAGTCCTGCGGCTCCTGGAGCCAACCCCCTCCCCGGGGTCACTGGACCGGTGTGGAAGGGTTTTCAGAGCCAGGAGTTGGAGCCCCAGAATGAGGCCTAGGTCAGATAGCTTCAAGAGAAACAGGGTCCTGGGGCCAATGGGTCTCTCCTCTGCCCCCTGCAGCAGGACGTGGCTGGGGAAACAAGTTTGGGAGGGGGAGGGCCCGCGTCTGCCACGGACCTGCCCGGTGAGCCCTTCCCTCTCTGGGCCCTAGGTTCTTGTCTGTCCACGACCTGGTTGCGCAAAACCAAAGTTTGTAAGCTGGGGGCCCTTGGGACCCATCGCTGTGGTCCTTACCACCTCAGGCTTGTTTTCCTCATCAGTTCAACCTCCTCTGTGTCAGTGGCCCACAGACACTTGAGTTTGGACTTCATACGGTTTTTTATTTAAATTCATTGACGATCTCTAAAAAACGGGGAGATATTTACACAACAGTCTGGAGTTTTGCCTTTTCTGGAAAACTCAGAGGGTCTGCCGACCCTGGGCCACACTCCCACAGGGCAGCAGTGTCCTGGAGGTGCCGTGGCAACAGTGGCTGGCTCTTCCCTGCTCGCCAGTCTCCGCTCCTCCCTGCTCCCACCACCCCCAGCGGCCAGGCACTTGCCCTCCGCAGGCAAGCGTTCACTAGGGCTCTACTGGAAGAAGAAAGAGCAATAGGAGGGCGGCAAGATCACTCCACCCCTCCAGCTTGCCTCATTTAGGTACCACTTGGCCCCTGTGGGGATTTCGAGTTTGTGACTACTGTCTTCAAAAAGTTTTAGCCGCTGAGTCCTTTTTTCTAGTGGAAAAATTGAAAGAACGACCTTGGTTGAATTGAGGGTTGGGCCCAGGCACCACATGTAGCCTCTCGGCGAAATTCCAGGGGCCCCACGGACCACGTAACCCTAAGGCCTTCCATGCCCCTCCTTCCCCAGGTGGCTCCTGGAGGTCAATGCGTCCCCGTCGTTGACAGCCAGCAGCCAGGAGGACTATGAGCTCAAGACCTGCCTCTTGGAAGACACCCTGCATGTGGTAGACATGGAGGCCAGGTAACGGGGGGCAGCCTCACTCAGGCACCCCTGGACATGACAGCTGGGGCCCCCAGCAAGGAAGACAGAGAACTCACAGCACTGGGACTTGAGCAGTATGTAGGGGTGGCTCAGGCCTGCTTGCCATTTCATAGATGGACAAACTGAGATGTCCACACAGGGTTATATCCTGGTTCAAGGACTCAGCCCTTTTGGGGCAGAGCAGGACCAACTACAGCCTTCTGAGATTCAGCCCAGCAGGATTTCCTCCACACTTCCTGACCGTGAGACCCTGGACTTCACCTGTCGGAGCCTCAGTTTCCTCATCTGTAAAATGGGAAACATCATGTTTACCTCTCAAGGTTGTTAAATTAATTTACCACGATTATTTATTGTAAAGCGTCTAGCTCACCGTAAGTGTTCAGTAAGAGACTATATATTGTTATAACAATGTGTATATAATGGGACAATCCAGGGTCTGACTTCAGGAATGGCTGAATCCAGGTGCTCAGTCGGTATTGGTTGGTCTGTCTGCTCACTGGCTCACTCTCTCTCTCTCTCATTCCCTCTCTCTCCCTTTCTCCCTCTCCCTCCCCAACCCCCACTTCTTTCCTATGCATTAGCTTTTTCCCAATTATTCCAGGAAAGGTTGAGGGCTCTCATTCTTATTGGTGGGGATTATGTCACATGCCCATCTCTGAACCAATCATTGTGACTGATTGACTGGGCCTACATCTTGTGCCCATCTCCCAGAAGTGTGGGATCATCCCCACCTGAGGCATGTGAGTGAGAGAGGGAGGAGTACCTGGAAAAGTCAAGTACCCTTAGGCTGAAAGAAGCTGAAATGGGTGCTGAGCAGGCAGAACCTCAAGTGTCCTCTATATCTACCATCACTTATTCATTGAACAAACATTTGGGCCCCTAATATGTGCCAGGACCTGTGCCACACCCTGGGGACACAGTAAAGGACACAATAGACCTAGTCCCTGCTTTCCTGGATTTTATGGTCCGGGAAGGACGGCACTCTAAGTATAAGTAGGTTCATGTTACTGAGGGCAAGGGTGGGAGCCTGGGGACAATAGGGGAGATGACCCCTCTGAGTCCTGTCTGGGCCCCCAGGAAATGGGTGGACAAAAGAAGGAATTCTGACAGCATGGGCACCAGTAGGGTGCAGGGAGGGAGCGGGGAACTGGCCTGGGTCTTTGGGCCCCACCAGGTGCACCTTCATCATCCCCTTGTATCTCCTGCCCATCCAGGCTCACAGGAAGGGAGAAGCGAGTGGGAGGCTTTGACCTCATGTGGAATGATGGCCCTGTCAGCAGAGAAGAGGGGGCTCCTGACCTGTCGGGGATGGGGAACTTTGTGACCAACACACACCTTGGTATGTGGGGCCAGGTGGGGAATGGGCACTGGGGATGGGTCATGAGAGGAGCCAGGTAGTCTAGGAGACAGCTTGGCACAGTGGTTAGACTGTTTTCATTTGCCCTACCATTTACCAGCTGTGTGACCTTGGGCAAGGGACTGAACCTCTCTGTTCCTCATCTGTAAAATGGAGATTAAAGAGTTTTTACTCTCAATATATGCCTGGAACACCACCTGGTACATAGCAAGAGATCTTATTAATCTGTCAGGAGGTGGATTTCAAGAGACTTAGGTGGAAAAAAAAAAAAAAAGCACACTGTGTTAAAAGAAATTAAGGACTCCAGTGCTTGACTTTAAACTTGGTTTTTAAAAAAGTGAAAAATTTTCCTGATTATAAAAAGTATTTACTCCTTGTAGAATATTTGAAAACCAAAAGGAAATCAACCATCTAGACGTAACCAACTTTAACGATCTGTTGTATTTCCTTCCAGTGTTTCAAAATGTGTATATTCACACTTTTTCTTTCACAAAATGGGCACTGGGCTGGAGTTTTGGGTCCCGCTTTTCCATGTAGCATATTCCATGTCATTCAACGATATTAATAAGAGCCTCTCTTCTGGAAACACTTTCCGGCTAGGTCCGAGCTAAATATTTTACATACATTATTTCATTTTTAGGCAGCTCCTATCGTTTTACAGATGGGGAAATGGTCTCCAGATCTTACATAACTTGCTGAGGGTCCCAGTTATAAATGGTGAGCCAGGACTTGAACCCTAGTCTCTCTTACTCTAAAACCTGAATGCTTGGCCGCTAGAAAATCCTGTCCCTTACCACAGTTAAAAGCAAAATTACTATACAGCTGTAAAATATTCCAGCTTGTGTATGTGCTGACCTTACTAAATCCATTTCTTATAATTGAGCATTTGGCAGGATTCCAAATTTTTACTTTTATAAATAATGCCATGCCATGATGAACATCCTCTCACATAAAGCTCAGCTGAAATTTCTGGCTATTTCTTTAGGACAGATTCCTAGAAGTAGAATTACTGGGTCAGAGGGATGGACTTATTACAACTAAATTGCTTTCTAGAAAGATAACACAAATTTGCCTGCTCTGAATTAAAAGAAAAAAGAAAAAAAAAAACTTTGTCAACTTGATAGGCAAAAAAGTTCTGACTTGTTTTATGTGTTCCATTGATTATTGGTGAGGTTTTGGATTTTTCAATTTGCGTTTCTTCTTTTGTAAGCTGTCCATACTCTTTATGTATTTTTCAGTAGACTGTTTTCTAAATTTATAAAGGCCTTGGATATTAATACATTGATTATATTACACCTCTGTCAAACTTATGGTAAATATTTTCCTGAATTTGTTATTTGCTTTTAAATTTTATTTGTGGCTTTTTTTTTTTATGAAGTTTTAAATCTTTTTTGGAGTTTGGTATGTTTTAGGATTGAGTTTGGCTGCAAGCAACTGAAAAGCCAACTAATAGTTACACAGGGTGAGTGATGTGTCTTGAGCCACAGGAAGTCTTGGGGTAGGCCAGGCAGGGCTGACACAATGGAGGCAAAATGCCCCCAGAGACCCAGAGCTTTCCTCTTTCCGCTTTGCCACACTTAGCTTGTTGCCTCATGGTTGCAAGAGAGCTGCTCCAGCTCCAGACACTGTCCTTGTCCCAGGCAGGAAGAAGCAGGAAGGCCTGAGGGCCAAGGCTTTCCTTCAAGTTTGGACTCTATTCCAAAAGGGAAACCCTCCTGGGGCTGACATCTTACTGGCAAGAACTGGGTCACGTGGCCACGACAGCTGCAAGGAAGCCTGGGATGTCAAGTAATTTGCTTGAGGAAGGCGGAGGAGAGGGCGTTTATGAAAGGCTTTTCTCCAGCCGATTCCCTAGGGTCTACCGAGTTATGTTGTTGGAAGATGACTATCCAGTGCTCTCAAGCTTTGATGTGCATGTAATCATCTGCAAATCTTGTTAAAATGCAGATTATGATTCAGTAGGTCTGGAGTGGGGGCTTAAGATTCTGCATTTCTAACAAGCTCCCAGGTGGTGCTCTATTAGTTAGCAGTTGTTATATAACAAACCAATCCTCCCCAAACCCAGAGGCTTAGAACAACTACTGTCTTATTTGCGGATTCTTCAGGTCTTGCCTGGGGTTGCTCAGAGGGCTGCATGCGCCCGGCAGATTCACTGAGACCCAGTGGCCTAGAAGAGCCTCGTTCACACGTGTGGTGGTTGATACTGGCTGTCAGCTGGGTCTCTTTTTCCAGGCGGCCACCCGTCCTCCAGCAGTCCGGCCCCACATGGTAGCCTCAGGGTTCCGAGAAGGTGAGAGAAGTCCTAGGGAAGCCTCTTGAGGCCTAGGCTCAGAAGCCCCACAGTATAGTGTCATTCTGCCACAATCCATCCGTCAAAGCTGCTCCACCCCAGATTCACGGGGCAAGGAAGTGGCCCCCACCTCCAGATGGAGGAGCACCAAAGCACCTTGCAGAGACGCGTGCATAAAGGAACAGAAGGAGTTGTTGCAGCTATCTTTGCCAATCATCCGCCTCAGATATGAATGCTGCCCGGGCCCGGTTCGAGTGGCAAAGATGCAGAACAGTGGTTCTTTCCATCTTGGCTGCTATAGGAATTCTGCAGGAGCTTTCAAAAATACTAATGCCTGCTGAAGGTCAAGATACAGTTGGTCTGGCCATTAGTCTTCTTAAAAGTGCCCAGCTGACTCTAAAGTGCAGCCTAGGTTGACAGCCACTGCTTTAGAAGTCTCTAAAATAATTCCCAAGTCTCCAGGCGAGTGTCTGGGTGGATGGTAGTGAGTACAAGACAAGCTGGTTGGGGTGGGAAGAGCATGGACGGAATGAGTAAGGGAAATGTTGAGGGGTTTCCGGGTGTAAAGATCAGCAGGTAACTCCAAGAAGAGGTTTGCATTGGACACGAAGATCTGGGAGTTGTGAAAGAACCAATTAAAGCTTTGGCAAACCCTGGGGACACATGTAGTGGGCCTCAGCTGGGTGAAGCCTTTATAGCCAGTGAGTGCCTAGGAGGCAAGGATGGGGCTCGGGGCTGCTAAGAAAGATGGCAGATGCCTGCAGGACAGAATAGTTGTGGCCACAGCGAGCCAGTCACCCAGCCAGCATCTGTGAGTGCCATCCATGTGCCTGGCACAACTTAATGACCATGGAGCTGCCTCACAGACCCGCTGTGAGGACAAGCAGGAAGTGAGTGACACCGTGAATGTGCTGGAAGAGGAGGCATCTCGGAAGCTCGCGTTGGCCTTTCAAGCAGGGACCGCCTAGGACACAATTCCAGGAGCGCAGGGGCCGCTTGTGGGGAAAATTGATCTCTCAACCACTTGTGCCTGCCCTATGGGGTTGGGGAAGGGAAGGAAGCTAATGCTTAACCTGTTAGGGACCAGGCACTATGCTAGCTTGCGATGTGTTTCCAGCAAGCACAGCCAAGAGGAAAGGTCGTGTGGAGCAGTAGTTAAGAGCTTGGCCTCTGGCGCTACAGAGCCTGGGTTCAAGTCTCAGTTCTGCTACTTTTGGTGTGATTTGGAGCACATTTCTTAACTTCTCTGAGCCTCAGTTTCTCTTCTCCACATCATTCCTGTGAGGGCTCAACACATTAATCCACATTCAGCACCTGGGGCGGGGTAAGCTGAAATGAATGTTAACTTTTTCTTTTGGTGATCCTTACATTCCCTCCTGAAAGCAGGTATCCTGGTTTACAGATGAGCAAACTAAGCTGGAGGCGGGTCAATGACCTGCTCAAGGGCCACGGAGTGCAGGCAGGACGCAAACCATAGGCCATCCAGGGGTGCACGCCCCTCCCAGCTCCCCCCACCCCCCACCCCCCGTGCCTCCACTACCAAGGCCATCCCAGCCAACACTTGGCTTCCCTTCCAGGCTGCGTCAATGACCGGAACAACCAGCTGAGGCAGCTATTCCGCTCCCTTCAGAGCCAGAAGAAAGCCTCCAGTTAGTCCCGGCAGCAGGAACAGCGACCCGACCAGGAGGTGCCCCCCCAGTCCCCTCCTGACCCGTTCCCAGCACAGCGGCGCCTCAGAGCACTTGCCTCCCTCCCTCTGGCCTGGCAGCAGCTTTGCGGGCTGGGTGGGCCACTGCCTGCTCGCTGTCTGCTGCCGCTTGTCTGGGTCCCCTGGACGCCCCCACCCCACCCCAGGCACCTCTGTACCCGGAGACAGCCAATCCCTGGGACTGTGTTTTAACCTTGCGGGACTGGCTTGGCGATCAGGCCCAGCGAGGACAGCTGCAGCAAGCCCTGCTACCCCAGAGAGACCGCATCTAATAAAGGAACACAGGCCCTACTTGGAGTCACTGCGCCCTGGGCCCCGGCTCGGGGGATGCTGATGATGGCTGAAGCCAAGCCCTCCCCGATTTGACCGTTTGATGTCTCAAAGGTTAAAATGATCCCCCTTTAGGAGGAGGGGTTCAGGGGCTAGGGAACTGGTCTTAAGGTGTACTTGCAAAGCAAAGTTATTAGATTGTGTTTATTGGGCTCTGGGAAAGGGCTGAGCCTTAAATACATCTTTGTCTCCTTTCAACATCCTGACCTGGTGTGTCACAGAACTCATGGAGCTCCCCTGACCATCTGAAAACCAGTGGGCCAGAGCATTCCCATTTCTCAGATGGACAAGGTAAGGATCAGGAAGGCAGAGCTGCTTAGCGAGGGTCTCTGCAAAGGTGCACTCAGCTGGGTGATGGAAGTGCCTCTCTGTGCCTTCCTGGGAGCTGAGCTTTCAGAAAGCCTTGGCCTGGCAGGCAAGGAGATGGCGTAGGGAGTTAGGTGAAAGTTCTGCGTTTTCTCCATATTCCCCATTCCTAAGCCTCCTCTTCCTTTGAGAGAGATTGCCACAGGGCAGGCTGGGGGTGAACCACTCCACAGGGGATCTACTATGGGACCCAGGCAGCTCCCATTGCAACTCTCTCCGCTGCGGGACAGCTCTGGCTGCAAATAGCAGAGTTTTGGAAGGAAAAATACTGGCAAACCCCAGAAGTGAACCAGCCAGCCTTGGGAAGGCCAGAAGCCAGGCCACCCCGGGCCTCCTGCCTCCAGAGCGTGGGGACTTCCTTGCATCCCTGTGACGGAGGTAAGACCACACAGCCCCAGACACAGGCTCCTCATTTCCAGGACAGCCAATCTGATTGGCTCTTTGGCCTAGCCACCACCCCGCTAGACAGGCAGGGGCAACGTTCCGATACGAGTCGTGAGCCAGGCCCACATCCCAGGCACTAGAGCAGCCATGTGTCCTTATCTTTGAACCTTGTGCTCCAACCCTGCAGCTTCTGTCTTGGGAGGGAGCCATGCAGTGTTCGCACACAGATGATTGGATTAGACGCTGTCGGTCCACTTGCTTTTCTCACCTACTGTATCTTGGAACTTGTTCCCAGTCAGTGCTTCGAGAAACTTCCTTCTTCTTGATGACAGGTGTACCGTATTCCACTGTCTGGAGTTATCGATTCCTTTAACTAGTCTACTACGGACAGACACCTAGCTTCTGATTCCACCTCCCCATTTCAGGGCCATCATGGGGAAAACGCATGCTATTTTCTACTTAAAATACTCAAGAGGATGCAAAATCATAGGTATGGGTCAAATTTGCCTTATGTAAGGTATTCTGTTTGGCCAACACCCAAGTCTTTAAAAACTTCTGCATTAGCAATATTTAAAAGACAGAAGATTCAACTTAAAAATCCAAATTTCTAGCTCCTCTTGGAAAAAAAACAACACAAAATGTTAAGATCTGGCCATACCAGCCTATGTTCCCATATCATTATGGTCTGGAGCCAAGTGGAGCGAGGGGGCCAGGTGAGGCCACCATCATTGTTACTGCCTGTTGAGTCCTGCTATCATTTCCCAGCAGGAGCCACTGTCCCTTTGCAGGTGGTGTCCTCAAGGCAGTGTGCCCTCAATTAAGGCTGAGATGAGGTAAAGAACAGAAGCTACTGTTCATTCATTTAGGAAACGTTTATTAAGCCCTCAAAGAACATGAAAGACACAGTGCTGTCCTCACAGCACATTCACCCCCGGATCTGAGACCGCTGAGGGCGGGCGGTAACTCTGAGCAGTCTGGCCTGGGCCCTGCCTTCAGAGGTGGCGGAGGGCCATGTGAAGAGGCAGCTCCCTCCCCCATCCGTGGTACAGGACTCTGTAAGGCCTTCCTGACTAAATAGCAGGTGCATCTAAATAGCAGGTGCATGAGTCTGAGACGCAGCATCCACGCTGGGCTCCATCCCAGGGACAAGCAGGAAAAAAGGGCCAAAGTGGAGGCCACAGTGGGGAACGGCGTGTGCCCCACAGAAGGCTGCGGTGAACTACGAAGCACCAAGATTCTGCCCTTCATTCAGAAACCACCTGTGAGCCGCCCGCTTTATTCCAATTCCACTACATGCTGCTTGAGAATGCCTCTCTTCCTGAAAGGAATGCAGGAATGATGCTCCCCGCGGCTGCCAGGGGCCCGTCTGAACAGCAGGCCCTTGTTAAAAGTGCCTGCTGTGGTCATTCTCACACCCTCACAGGCACGGCCCCCACCCCCCACTGGTGGCTGCCGGGGCCTATCAATGGGTCTTGTGTCCATCCAGCTCCAGTGGTTGGACCCAGCAGACAATGGTAGGCTGAGGGCTCCCTCCTGCCGTCACAGAGCAGCAATCCCCACAGACAGAGGCTTCTGATGCTCGGATTCCTGACGCCTATCTCCTAATAGGGTAGATCATGTCCTTGCAGGTTATAAAGCTGGAGAGTCCTGGGTCCTCCAAGACTGCTGGGTGCGGGGGGGAGGAGAAGCTGTCTTTGGTACCCCATCTTGGTTCTTGAGTTTCATCCTTTTAAGATGATCTTGAGAGCTTTAAGTTCATCCTGGTTGAGGGGGTTCAGGTTAAAACCCTTCAACTCTGGTTTGCCTAGGGGGAGAAAACAATCCATCAGCAAGTTGGGCCTCCTGTTGTCCAACCTCCTGCTGGCCCTCCTGTTGTCCAACCTCCTGCTGGCCCTGGAGTCAGGCCCAGGAAAGAGGCTTATGCTGCATTCATGCTGCCAAACACTTGGCCTTAAGGTCTAACAGGGAAGGGCCTCAAATTCTGCAATGCACTGGACGAGGCACCTGAGTCACCAAGGACCTGCAGAGTCACGACTCTGCTGCCCAGAAACCTACCGATTTCTGCCAGAGCTGTGACCAATCTGGAGTGGTTAGGTTTACCCAGAAGTTCAGCTCTGAGCTTGACCATCTGACTAGGGCCTTCTGCGTCCCCTCAGTCAGAGCTGTCCTGGTTCCTATACCATGCCCTAGGATATCATGTGAGATACCCCAGGCTGTTCTTCTTATGGCAGGAAAAAGACTCGTGACAGGAATAAGACCCCGCAACCCTCCTTGCCCATTCCATCTCTGGGTGGCTATGACCGCTGCCCCTGCCCACAGCCTCTACACGGCCCACGTGCTGCCCAGGCCCTCGCCTGCCCAACTGGCAGGGGCTTCCCAACCGTGCTCTGCAAAGTCCATGCTGACATTGACAGTTCTCTCCCCTCCTGGTTTCCAGTTCCCTCCAGGCCCATACCTTGGGCCTCAAAGAGGCGGTTGACCTTCACTTTAAGTCGTTTCCGGAGTTTCTCTATTTCTTTATCCAGGTGATCCTGATCTGAAAAATGAGGTGGGCGGAGGATGGGGTTATACTACAGACACAGTGACCCGAAGGCAGCTGGGGACGTCAGCTTCTCCCTAGCCTCCTTGAAAGCAAGGGCTCCTGGCATTCAGGAAGAAGGGGACCTCAGAGACCAACTGAGGAAGGAACTAAAGAGCTAGAGAAGGGAGGTGATCTGCCCAAGATGGCTGAGTGAGCCCAGGACAGGACTGAGCACCCTGTCCACTGACCTATTTTCATTATGCAAAGTACCTTGGGCTGCTCAGTGGTGGTGGTGGTGGGTAATATCTGGACTTTAGGTCCCCCTCCCACAATGAAATTACAGAAAATTGAAACATCAGACCAGAATGAAGAACTTAGACCCAGCCCATCCAAGATGGCTGGAAAATGTGTGGCTAAGGAATCTTACAAACCCAAGTCCATCAAGGTGAGCGGTTTTTAAACAACATGACGGTGGTAATATGTGACCTAAACAATCAATGGGCAAGCCTGATGCTCAAGCTTAACCTAATTCACCGTGAACAGAAAAGATTATCTTGCCAAGATGGATTGCACGTGAACACAAACTGCACTATGAGGAAGTAGAGGCTACAAAGCTTGGTGACACAACTGCCTAATGTGACCCGACTCCACCTGCTCACGATGACATGCTGGCTAGTCTGTTTTCCCCACAGATTTTCATTCTTTCTGACAGGAAGAAGCCCCAAGCAGCCGAGCCCTCTCACCTGGGCAACGGTTTTAGTGCTCATGGTAAATGAGCAACCCTGGTCTCTTATGAGCTTATTTAGCTCACATCGACCCCTGAGAACCAGTGATGATAATGTCCCAGAACCCTTCTGCATATGGTGACAAGACCACATTTGTGGGCCGAGACAGCTGAGGACCAGATCCTGAACCCAGGCAAGTGACCCCCTCTGAAAGCTCAGCCTGAGTGGCCTGCAGCCCATCACTCACATGCAATAACAACTCTTAATTTTATAACCATAACATTAGTGTGCATTTTTCAACATGAAGCTGGAAACTTCTCTAAGCTGATACAGTCTCCTTTGCTAAAATTTTATTTCAACAGGGATAGGGAAATTCTGCCTTCAGGGACAGAGGTGACCTTGCTGGTCCTCTTGGCACACACATTTTCAAGGGTGGGGAAAGAGGAAACATGCATAATTTTTCCTTTTTCCAGCCAAGGACCCATCTGCACCTTGACTTTTTGCCTTTATGATGCTTCTCCAAAGAGCCTCCAGGATCATGGTTATGAAGATTTGAGTAACATGCCGAGTGCCTAGGCCGTGGCAGACCCTAGAGGCTCACTCTCCCCAAACCTCCACTGGCTCTATGGCAGGTGATGTGAAAGATAAAAGCGCACTCTGCCAGGCTCCCTTGCAGCTATGGGGGGGGCAGCAGCACATGACTTCGTTCTGGTCTATGAGATGTCAGCAGTCTCTGAGGAGGACAGCATTATTTGGAAATAGAAGGCAAGGCCATGTATGGAGAAAGCTGGCCCTCTGCCGTTCTGCAGCCTGGCCTGTGGACATGAGGCCTGCAATGATGACACAGCTGCTCCAAGAATACGTGAAGGTGACCTTGCTGAGCGTCCGTGCCAGTCCTGGACTCCCCACCTCTGGACAACTGATGAGAACAACAGAACCAGATTTCCTAAGCCTCCATTTGTTGGGTTTTCTATATTTGTGGCCCAGCTTGTTCCTCACTGATAAACAAGCACTGATAAGTACACACACACTTTTATCCCCACTTCACAAATGTGCTCTGGAGATGCATCCCCTCCTTCAGAGATGAGGAAATAACTCAGAGTGGCAGAGCAAGGATTAAAACCCACATCTGTCTGAGCCCTATAACAGAGCTGCCACTCATCAAATGGCCCACAGTCTGACTCTCAGCTCTGGGTTAAGACCAAGGCTGGCAGGGGGAGACGTGTCCCTGACCCATCCCCAGAAGGCCTTACCTTTCTCAATCATTTCCTTCGTTTGAGAGTGAGGCATCTTGATAAACATGCTCCCGAAGCAAACCATCACATCTTCTGAAATGGCAAATGGTCACTCTTTCAACAAATATTTTTGAGCACTTACTCTCTGCCAGGCATTGTTTTAGATGCTGAAAACACAGCAGAACAAGACAAAGTTTCTGCCCTCATCGGGCTTATGATATAGTGGAGGAGAAGGAATAAATAAGCAAAGATACAATCCGTGAGGCCCTGATAAGGCTAAGTACTCTGGAGAAAAATAAAGCAGAGTAAGACGATGGGGGATGCCAGAGAAGGGGAGGACCTTGTTACTTTACCAGATGGTCTGACAAGGCCTCACTGATTATGTGACATTTGGGCAGAGATCTGAAGAAAGTGAGGCATGAGCCCTGCAGCCATCTGAGGAAAGAGTGAGCCAGGCAAAGGAAACAGGAACAGCAAAGACCAGTAATTTGCTTGGGGTGTTAGAACAGCAAGCAGACCAATGTCAGACCTGTAACATCTTCTCCCTCATCTCCACAGGCTGTGTCACACATGTGTAGCTTTTCGTCTCTATTAGGAACAAGCTGAAAGCCTTAGAAGGAAAACAACACACCTCCAGGGCTGCAGTGACAAAACCCTGACTTACCAGAGAGGCTGAGATCCTTCTGCAGGGCCCGTAGGCCCTCCCGGTTCTGATTTCTTTTGGTGTCCAGGTCCACAATCTGCAAAGCACAGGGGCTGTTAAAACCCAACAGAGACAAGGCATCATTCCTGGGTTTCTTCCAATGTCACGCCTAAAACACACTCATGTGTAAATGTATTTCTTCCCCTATTCAGTTTCCAGGTCTTTAAAGACAATGCTCTGTGCAGGTGTTCTCCCCACAGAGAAGGTGCTGGGGAAATGTTTGCTGATTAAACGGGTAATTCGTTATTAGTCACTGGAGTGCTAATGCTCAAGCTTCAGGGCATTTCAAAATCACCAGGGAAGTAGAAACTTCTCCCTGGACAAGCTCCTCCAGCTCATTCTGACCTAGCATCACAAGAAGCCCAATGATACCAGACAGCAACAGCAGGGCTGGGGGGCACTGAGATGGTACTAACACCACAGAAGCTGCTAAGGAAGTAAGGAGGCAGAACAGTTTCTTGAGAGTGCTGACTCTGGAGCCTCCGCAACACCAAGGTTTGAATCCTGCCGGCCGCTGTGAGCTGTGGAATTTCACCTTCTGAGAAATGGAGGTATGAATAGCACCTACCTCACACGTTACTGAGCCAGGAACTAAACGAGCTAGCATAGTACTTGACACACACAGTAAGTGCCTGAGACATTTTAATCACTACTTTATTATCATCCCGCATACCCTGATGCAGTGTTTAATGGGCACTTATCCAAGTCTTCCACTTTTCAGTAAATACCCTGCCAATCATCCACTTATTCTAACTGGAGATGAGGAGTCATGAATCATTCTTCACTCCTACTCCCTCACCTCCCATATGTAAGCATCATCAAGGCCTACTAAATCCAACTCCAAAATATACCTCTGACCCATTCACTCGTCTCCATCACCACCACCCTGGCCCAAACCCATCCCTTGCAGGAACCTTGGCAGTGGCCACTCACGGGCCCCTTGCCCCCCTACATTCTGTGCTCCACACAGCAGCCAGAGGAATCCTTTTAAAGCCTAAATCCAATTACATCATTCTCCCTCTCCCCATTAACTCCCTCCAAACACTTAGCACTTAAATTAGCACAAGACCCAGACTTTCTATGCAGGTGTACAAAGCGTCCCCACCTGCCCAATCTCAAGATTACTCAGGCCTCTTTTCCTCTTCTCCCGAGAGCCTTGGCGAAGACAGTGCACCCACGGTCAGTGGGACGGGGCCTGAGGAGGAAGTGCCTTTTGAAAAAGGTGTTCAGGTAAACCACCCAAAGAGGTAATGGCTCGGGTCCGGAGGGCACGGCGAGGGGCGGAGGAAGGATGGAGACAGGGAATCCTTGGCACGGAGCAGGCGCGCATTTAACACGTGCTAATAAATGCGTGAAGCGCGGCGCCGTGCCAGGTGTCTGGCCCACCTTGCCTCACCGCTGCCCCACGTCTATGGTCACGGCTGTAAGCCCACCAGCCCACTGGGAACCCGCGCTGGAGCCGGATTCCGGGCCCTGTGCGCGGCCCTACGGCGCTCGCCGCCAGGCCCCAACCGCCGAACCCCGGCCCCAGCGCCCCGGACGGGCCTCCTACCTGCCGCTTGTCCGCCAGCACCTCCTCGGCGAGTTCTTCCACCTCCACCAGGTACCGCAGCACCCGCTCCGCCTCAGGTGATAGCATGATACCCAGCAGCTCCGACTCAACCCAGATCGGCTGCGACTCGGCTCAAACTCCGTTTGAGATATGCTTCGGCTGCGCACGCGCACGGGCAGAGCTTCCGACGCGCACGCGCAATTAAAAGAACAGTGGCGCGCAGGCTCCAACCCTCGAGCGGCCGCAGGACGCGAGAGGCGGGGCCTAGCTTTGGGGGGCGGGACTGGAGCGCCCCCTGCAGGCTCAGAGAGCATAGTCCACAGAGCTGCCTCTTAACCCCTCCTGCCTCCCTTCTGGTTTCTTGAGCACCTGCTAGGTGCCAGGCAGTTTTAGGTGCTGAGGGTGCAGCAGTGAACAAAACACAGTCCCTGTCCTCATGAAACTTCATCCTCGTGGGAAACACCGACAGTTCATGACAAAACAAGTGGTTACATACTATGGCGAGCAGTGATAAGTGTTTTGGAGTAATACAAATCATTCTTCCCCTGTTTAAGGAACACCAAGAAGGCCCATGTGTCAGTGTGACTTATATTTAACCTCTGACACCTTCAGTTTCCAATTTATAAAATGGGAGTGAATAAAAATCCCCCTCATTGTCTCTCTGCAGGATCAGAAGGAGGCAGGAATCATTTTTAAAATTCAGCTTTCACCAGTATTCGTTGAGCCCCTTTCTTGGGCCCAATGTCCAGAGTAGTTGACCTAGACCCAAGGAAGGGGCTGGAAAATCATGTGCAGTGAGCGATGAAGTGCCAGCTCAGAAAAGAAATTCTGTAAGTGCTAGAAAGCAAATTGGTGTGGGTCGTGGGATTTGGAAGGACCTCCAAGAAGAGGCATGCAGGAGAAATGTGGTTGCCCTTCAGAACAAGAAGGCTCCCTATAGGTCTTCATGCCCAAACCCTTCATTGTACAGCTGAAAAAGCTGAGGCCCAGAGAGTGGTGAGGATCTTACAAAATCAACAGCAGACCTGAGACTAGAATTCTGACTTCCTGCCTCCTTGATTCCAGCTTTTTATTCTCCATTAGATCCCTTGTAACCAAGCCCTTTTACATCCCTTGCCTTACTTGAATTTCACAATTTTTGTACAGATGGGTTATTACTGCCCATTTCATAGCTGCAGACTGAGGCCAGGAGAAGAGCAATGCTTTGTCACACAGAAAGTCAGGAGTAAACGTGTGTCTAGAAGCATTCTGGTCTCCATACCACAGCTGTCTCTGGACCCTGGGAAAAAAAACTCTCCCCCAGATTGTGGCCCCAGAAGCCCCGGTAGCACTTCCTCTTTGCCTGGCCTTTGGCTTCCTTCAAGTGCTAGAGGCAGAGCTAATTTTCCCTTCAGCTGCCCTGCATGGGGAAAGAAGGAGATTCATTAAGGATTCCTCACTGAGGGTGAATTTGTCGCCAAACCCAAGATGTTTTGTGTAAACACCTTCTGGCTCAGAAACGCAGGCACAGGTCCTATGAAGGAGGAACTTTTGCCAAAAGAGAAACAGGGCTTACCAGGCATCCCTGGGGCCTAGACCCCAGGACTGGGTCTCTTCCACATGCGGGCCCGAAGAGGGCTAGACCAGGCTGACCCTTGACCCCTGCCAGATGCGCCTGGATGGGGAAGGGTTGAAGTAGGCTTCCAAATTGACTGTGACTGGCCCCTAGAGAGCACCCTTGGCCACTGGAAGTATTGGGGAGGGAAGTCATATGTTTCATCTATGTTTAGAACCATCTATTTCACAAATATTTATTGACTTCCCTGACTCTGTTATAGGGCTTCTGCCATGAGCAAAAACCAGACATGGTTCTTGCCCTCAGAAAGCTTCCAGTCCGGCAGGAGAGACAGACGATGAACACACGAACAAGTAAATATATCATATGTCAGGCGGATAAATGTTACAGAAAACAACAGCACGGGACAAGGTAGAGAAAAACTGATGGAAGGGCTATTTGCAACAAGGTGGTCAGGGAGGGCTTCTCTGAAGAGGTTGAACTGGAGCAGAGATGTGGAATAGGTGAGGGGTAAGCCATGTGAATGTCTGAGGGAAAAGTGTTCCAGGCAGAGGGAATAGCAAATTCGAAGGCCCTGAGATGAGGCTTTGTTTGGCAAATTGAAAGACTAGCAAGGCCTGTGTAGATAGAACAGAATGAGCAAGGGGAAGAAGGTAGGAAATGAGGTCAGAAAGGGGAAGGAGGCATTAAACAGACGGTTCTACAGAGGGGGCTGTAGGTGCCCCGCCCAAACCCGTTAAGCCCTCCCTGGAGGTCAGCTGCAGACAATGGTGCACAAGCCTGTGACTTCCTGCTTTCTCCGCTCACAGATGCGAGTTGAGTTGGGGAATGCTGGTGAGTTAAGGCCCACAGGAATGGCCCTTAACCAAGAAGAGAAAAGAGTTAGTGACTGCATATCCCAGCTTCGTTGCCCCTCTGTGGGAGACCCAAGAGGAGGCTGCCACAACCATCCAAGTAAGAGGGGGATGGTCACTGCCCCAGGGAGTAGCAGTGGGGGTAGCAGGCAATGGCGGG